TGCTTCCTAGCCTTCCTACCCCTGCTCACCCGCCACCCACAGCTCACCCGCCATCTGCGAGCGTGCTGGTGCCTACGTTTACAGACGACCCACCTTTTTTGTCGGCGAGTGTGGGGCAACCACGCCGACTGCCAGGCGCAGGATCCCACAAGAGTTTGGGCATGAGGGAGACCGGCTAAACAGCTCACCGAGAGCCTGGTCAGCGCCACAGACCAAACGCCCAGCTGTGTGCTGTGTGCTCTGTGCTGTGTGTCACCTCTGTCCGGGCCACTGGCCGGTCGGACGAGTAGGGTTCGAGTCAGCCAGCTGCTTGACATTTTTGTTTCGGAGGCGGGTGGCTCCCGGCCTGGCGGTTCGAGGCTTCGGGTATGTGAGGCAGTGGACCATGGCGGAGCGCGGAGAATCGACAAGGCGTGGATGCTGGCGCCTCACGGGTGCTAATGTGCTGGTGGAGAGGACGATCGTTGTAATGGGTGCGGAGGCTTGCTTGGCGATGTGTGGAGGGATGGCGCTGTGAGGCGGTTGTGTGTCGTTTTGTTTGGTGTGTTTTGTGGCGAGTTGGCGTGTGCGTGTGTGTGTGTGTGTGTTGGTCTGAGCGCGTCGATTGCGTTGCGGTTTGGGTTTGTGTCTGGGCGCTTAGCTCAAATGGTAGAGCGCCCGCTTCGCATGCGGGAGGTAGGGGGATCGATACCCCCAGTGTCCACTTTTTACGGCACACAACACTTTTTACGAACAAACACTTTTTACCGCCCCTCGCGCCGCTGCTTGCTTCCTAGCCTTCCTACCCCTGCTCACCCGCCACCCAAGCTCACCCGCCATCTGCGAGCGTGCTGGTGCCTACGTTTACAGACGACCCACCTTTTTTGTCGGCGAGTGTGGGGCAACCACGCCGACTGCCAGGCGCAGGATCCCACAAGAGTTTGGGCATGAGGGAGACCGGCTAAACAGCTCACCGAGAGCCTGGTCAGCGCCACAGACCAAACGCCCAGCTTTGTGCTGTGTGCTCTGTGCTGTGTGCTGTGTGTCACCTCTGTCCGGGCCACTGGCCGGTCGGACGAGTAGGGTTCGAGTCAGCCAGCTGCTTGACATTTTTGTTTTCGGAGGCGGGTGGCTCCCGGCCTGGCGGTTCGAGGCTTCGGGTATGTGAGGCAGTGGACCATGGCGGAGCGCGGAGAATCGACAAGGCGTGGATGCTGGCGCCTCACGGGTGCTAATGTGCTGGTGGAGAGGACGATCGTTGTAATGGGTGCGGAGGCTTGCTTGGCGATGTGTGGAGGGATGGCGCTGTGAGGCGGTTGTGTGTGGTTTTGTTTGGTGTGTTTTGTGGCGAGTTGGCGTGTGCGTGTGTGTGTGTGTGTTGGTCTGAGCGCGTCGATTGCGTTGCGGTTTGGGTTTGTGTCTGGGCGCTTAGCTCAAATGGTAGAGCGCCCGCTTCGCATGCGGGAGGTAGGGGGATCGATACCCCCAGTGTCCACTTTTTACGGCACACAACACTTTTTACGAACAAACACTTTTTACCGCCCCTCGCGCCGCTGCTTGCTTCCTAGCCTTCCTACCCCTGCTCACCCGCCACCCAAGCTCACCCGCCATCTGCGAGCGTGCTGGTGCCTACGTTTACAGACGACCCACCTTTTTTGTCGGCGAGTGTGGGGCAACCACGCCGACTGCCAGGCGCAGGATCCCACAAGAGTTTGGGCATGAGGGAGACCGGCTAAACAGCTCACCGAGAGCCTGGTCAGCGCCACAGACCAAACGCCCAGCTGTGTGCTGTGTGCTCTGTGCTGTGTGTCACCTCTGTCCGGGCCACTGGCCGGTCGGACGAGTAGGGTTCGAGTCAGCCAGCTGCTTGACATTTTTGTTTCGGAGGCGGGTGGCTCCCGGCCTGGCGGTTCGAGGCTTCGGGTATGTGAGGCAGTGGACCATGGCGGAGCGCGGAGAATCGACAAGGCGTGGATGCTGGCGCCTCACGGGTGCTAATGTGCTGGTGGAGAGGACGATCGTTGTAATGGGTGCGGAGGCTTGCTTGGCGATGTGTGGAGGGATGGCGCTGTGAGGCGGTTGTGTGTCGTTTTGTTTGGTGTGTTTTGTGGCGAGTTGGCGTGTGCGTGTGTGTGTGTGTGTGTTGGTCTGAGCGCGTCGATTGCGTTGCGGTTTGGGTTTGTGTCTGGGCGCTTAGCTCAAATGGTAGAGCGCCCGCTTCGCATGCGGGAGGTAGGGGGATCGATACCCCCAGTGTCCACTTTTTACGGCACACAACACTTTTTACGAACAAACACTTTTTACCGCCCCTCGCGCCGCTGCTTGCTTCCTAGCCTTCCTACCCCTGCTCACCCGCCACCCAAGCTCACCCGCCATCTGCGAGCGTGCTGGTGCCTACGTTTACAGACGACCCACCTTTTTTGTCGGCGAGTGTGGGGCAACCACGCCGACTGCCAGGCGCAGGATCCCACAAGAGTTTGGGCATGAGGGAGACCGGCTAAACAGCTCACCGAGAGCCTGGTCAGCGCCACAGACCAAACGCCCAGCTGTGTGCTGTGTGCTCTGTGCTGTGTGTCACCTCTGTCCGGGCCACTGGCCGGTCGGACGAGTAGGGTTCGAGTCAGCCAGCTGCTTGACATTTTTGTTTCGGAGGCGGGTGGCTCCCGGCCTGGCGGTTCGAGGCTTCGGGTATGTGAGGCAGTGGACCATGGCGGAGCGCGGAGAATCGACAAGGCGTGGATGCTGGCGCCTCACGGGTGCTAATGTGCTGGTGGAGAGGACGATCGTTGTAATGGGTGCGGAGGCTTGCTTGGCGATGTGTGGAGGGATGGCGCTGTGAGGCGGTTGTGTGTGGTTTTGTTTGGTGTGTTTTGTGGCGAGTTGGCGTGTGCGTGTGTGTGTGTGTGTGTGTTGGTCTGAGCGCGTCGATTGCGTTGCGGTTTGGGTTTGTGTCTGGGCGCTTAGCTCAAATGGTAGAGCGCCCGCTTCGCATGCGGGAGGTAGGGGGATCGATACCCCCAGTGTCCACTTTTTACGGCACACAACACTTTTTACGAACAAACACTTTTTACCGCCCCTCGCGCCGCTGCTTGCTTCCTAGCCTTCCTACCCCTGCTCACCCGCCACCCACAGCTCACCCGCCATCTGCGAGCGTGCTGGTGCCTACGTTTACAGACGACCCACCTTTTTTGTCGGCGAGTGTGGGGCAACCACGCCGACTGCCAGGCGCAGGATCCCACAAGAGTTTGGGCATGAGGGAGACCGGCTAAACAGCTCACCGAGAGCCTGGTCAGCGCCACAGACCAAACGCCCAGCTGTGTGCTGTGTGCTCTGTGCTGTGTGTCACCTCTGTCCGGGCCACTGGCCGGTCGGACGAGTAGGGTTCGAGTCAGCCAGCTGCTTGACATTTTTGTTTCGGAGGCGGGTGGCTCCCGGCCTGGCGGTTCGAGGCTTCGGGTATGTGAGGCAGTGGACCATGGCGGAGCGCGGAGAATCGACAAGGCGTGGATGCTGGCGCCTCACGGGTGCTAATGTGCTGGTGGAGAGGACGATCGTTGTAATGGGTGCGGAGGCTTGCTTGGCGATGTGTGGAGGGATGGCGCTGTGAGGCGGTTGTGTGTGGTTTTGTTTGGTGTGTTTTGTGGCGAGTTGGCGTGTGTGTGTGTGTGTGTGTGTTGGTCTGAGCGCGTCGATTGCGTTGCGGTTTGGGTTTGTGTCTGGGCGCTTAGCTCAAATGGTAGAGCGCCCGCTTCGCATGCGGGAGGTAGGGGGATCGATACCCCCAGTGTCCACTTTTTACGGCACACAACACTTTTTACGAACAAACACTTTTTACCGCCCCTCGCGCCGCTGCTTGCTTCCTAGCCTTCCTACCCCTGCTCACCCGCCACCCACAGCTCACCCGCCATCTGCGAGCGTGCTGGTGCCTACGTTTACAGACGACCCACCTTTTTTGTCGGCGAGTGTGGGGCAACCACGCCGACTGCCAGGCGCAGGATCCCACAAGAGTTTGGGCATGAGGGAGACCGGCTAAACAGCTCACCGAGAGCCTGGTCAGCGCCACAGACCAAACGCCCAGCTGTGTGCTGTGTGCTCTGTGCTCTGTGCTGTGTGTCACCTCTGTCCGGGCCACTGGCCGGTCGGACGAGTAGGGTTCGAGTCAGCCAGCTGCTTGACATTTTTGTTTTCGGAGGCGGGTGGCTCCCGGCCTGGCGGTTCGAGGCTTCGGGTATGTGAGGCAGTGGACCATGGCGGAGCGCGGAGAATCGACAAGGCGTGGATGCTGGCGCCTCACGGGTGCTAATGTGCTGGTGGAGAGGACGATCGTTGTAATGGGTGCGGAGGCTTGCTTGGCGATGTGTGGAGGGATGGCGCTGTGAGGCGGTTGTGTGTGGTTTTGTTTGGTGTGTTTTGTGGCGAGTTGGCGTGTGCGTGTGTGTGTCTGTGTGTTGGTCTGAGCGCGTCGATTGCGTTGCGGTTTGGGTTTGTGTCTGGGCGCTTAGCTCAAATGGTAGAGCGCCCGCTTCGCATGCGGGAGGTAGGGGGATCGATACCCCCAGTGTCCACTTTTTACGGCACGCAACACTTTTTACGAACAAACACTTTTTACCGCCCCTCGCGCCGCTGCTTGCTTCCTAGCCTTCCTACCCCTGCTCACCCGCCACCCACAGCTCACCCGCCATCTGCGAGCGTGCTGGTGCCTACGTTTACAGACGACCCACCTTTTTTGTCGGCGAGTGTGGGGCAACCACGCCGACTGCCAGGCGCAGGATCCCACAAGAGTTTGGGCATGAGGGAGACCGGCTAAACAGCTCACCGAGAGCCTGGTCAGCGCCACAGACCAAACGCCCAGCTGTGTGCTGTGTGCTCTGTGCTCTGTGCTGTGTGTCACCTCTGTCCGGGCCACTGGCCGGTCGGACGAGTAGGGTTCGAGTCAGCCAGCTGCTTGACATTTTTGTTTTCGGAGGCGGGTGGCTCCCGGCCTGGCGGTTCGAGGCTTCGGGTATGTGAGGCAGTGGACCATGGCGGAGCGCGGAGAATCGACAAGGCGTGGATGCTGGCGCCTCACGGGTGCTAATGTGCTGGTGGAGAGGACGATCGTTGTAATGGGTGCGGAGGCTTGCTTGGCGATGTGTGGAGGGATGGCGCTGTGAGGCGGTTGTGTGTGGTTTTGTTTGGTGTGTTTTGTGGCGAGTTGGCGTGTGCGTGTGTGTGTGTGTGTGTTGGTCTGAGCGCGTCGATTGCGTTGCGGTTTGGGTTTGTGTCTGGGCGCTTAGCTCAAATGGTAGAGCGCCCGCTTCGCATGCGGGAGGTAGGGGGATCGATACCCCCAGTGTCCACTTTTTACGGCACACAACACTTTTTACGAACAAACACTTTTTACCGCCCCTCGCGCCGCTGCTTGCTTCCTAGCCTTCCTACCCCTGCTCACCCGCCACCCACAGCTCACCCGCCATCTGCGAGCGTGCTGGTGCCTACGTTTACAGACGACCCACCTTTTTTGTCGGCGAGTGTGGGGCAACCACGCCGACTGCCAGGCGCAGGATCCCACAAGAGTTTGGGCATGAGGGAGACCGGCTAAACAGCTCACCGAGAGCCTGGTCAGCGCCACAGACCAAACGCCCAGCTGTGTGCTGTGTGCTCTGTGCTCTGTGCTGTGTGTCACCTCTGTCCGGGCCACTGGCCGGTCGGACGAGTAGGGTTCGAGTCAGCCAGCTGCTTGACATTTTTGTTTTCGGAGGCGGGTGGCTCCCGGCCTGGCGGTTCGAGGCTTCGGGTATGTGAGGCAGTGGACCATGGCGGAGCGCGGAGAATCGACAAGGCGTGGATGCTGGCGCCTCACGGGTGCTAATGTGCTGGTGGAGAGGACGATCGTTGTAATGGGTGCGGAGGCTTGCTTGGCGATGTGTGGAGGGATGGCGCTGTGAGGCGGTTGTGCGTCGTTTTGTTTGGTGTGTTTTGTGGCGAGTTGGCGTGTGCGTGTGTGTGTGTGTGTTGGTCTGAGCGCGTCGATTGCGTTGCGGTTTGGGTTTGTGTCTGGGCGCTTAGCTCAAATGGTAGAGCGCCCGCTTCGCATGCGGGAGGTAGGGGGATCGATACCCCCAGTGTCCACTTTTTACGGCACACAACACTTTTTACGAACAAACACTTTTTACCGCCCCTCGCGCCGCTGCTTGCTTCCTAGCCTTCCTACCCCTGCTCACCCGCCACCCACAGCTCACCCGCCATCTGCGAGCGTGCTGGTGCCTACGTTTACAGACGACCCACCTTTTTTGTCGGCGAGTGTGGGGCAACCACGCCGACTGCCAGGCGCAGGATCCCACAAGAGTTTGGGCATGAGGGAGACCGGCTAAACAGCTCACCGAGAGCCTGGTCAGCGCCACAGACCAAACGCCCAGCTTTGTGCTGTGTGCTCTGTGCTCTGTGCTGTGTGTCACCTCTGTCCGGGCCACTGGCCGGTCGGACGAGTAGGGTTCGAGTCAGCCAGCTGCTTGACATTTTTGTTTTCGGAGGCGGGTGGCTCCCGGCCTGGCGGTTCGAGGCTTCGGGTATGTGAGGCAGTGGACCATGGCGGAGCGCGGAGAATCGACAAGGCGTGGATGCTGGCGCCTCACGGGTGCTAATGTGCTGGTGGAGAGGACGATCGTTGTAATGGGTGCGGAGGCTTGCTTGGCGATGTGTGGAGGGATGGCGCTGTGAGGCGGTTGTGTGTCGTTTTGTTTGGTGTGTTTTGTGGCGAGTTGGCGTGTGCGTGTGTGTGTGTGTGTGTTGGTCTGAGCGCGTCGATTGCGTTGCGGTTTGGGTTTGTGTCTGGGCGCTTAGCTCAAATGGTAGAGCGCCCGCTTCGCATGCGGGAGGTAGGGGGATCGATACCCCCAGTGTCCACTTTTTACGGCACACAACACTTTTTACGAACAAACACTTTTTACCGCCCCTCGCGCCGCTGCTTGCTTCCTAGCCTTCCTACCCCTGCTCACCCGCCACCCAAGCTCACCCGCCATCTGCGAGCGTGCTGGTGCCTACGTTTACAGACGACCCACCTTTTTTGTCGGCGAGTGTGGGGCAACCACGCCGACTGCCAGGCGCAGGATCCCACAAGAGTTTGGGCATGAGGGAGACCGGCTAAACAGCTCACCGAGAGCCTGGTCAGCGCCACAGACCAAACGCCCAGCTGTGTGCTGTGTGCTCTGTGCTCTGTGCTGTGTGTCACCTCTGTCCGGGCCACTGGCCGGTCGGACGAGTAGGGTTCGAGTCAGCCAGCTGCTTGACATTTTTGTTTTCGGAGGCGGGTGGCTCCCGGCCTGGCGGTTCGAGGCTTCGGGTATGTGAGGCAGTGGACCATGGCGGAGCGCGGAGAATCGACAAGGCGTGGATGCTGGCGCCTCACGGGTGCTAATGTGCTGGTGGAGAGGACGATCGTTGTAATGGGTGCGGAGGCTTGCTTGGCGATGTGTGGAGGGATGGCGCTGTGAGGCGGTTGTGTGTGGTTTTGTTTGGTGTGTTTTGTGGCGAGTTGGCGTGTGCGTGTGTGTGTGTGTGTGTGTTGGTCTGAGCGCGTCGATTGCGTTGCGGTTTGGGTTTGTGTCTGGGCGCTTAGCTCAAATGGTAGAGCGCCCGCTTCGCATGCGGGAGGTAGGGGGATCGATACCCCCAGTGTCCACTTTTTACGGCACACAACACTTTTTACGAACAAACACTTTTTACCGCCCCTCGCGCCGCTGCTTGCTTCCTAGCCTTCCTACCCCTGCTCACCCGCCACCCACAGCTCACCCGCCATCTGCGAGCGTGCTGGTGCCTACGTTTACAGACGACCCACCTTTTTTGTCGGCGAGTGTGGGGCAACCACGCCGACTGCCAGGCGCAGGATCCCACAAGAGTTTGGGCATGAGGGAGACCGGCTAAACAGCTCACCGAGAGCCTGGTCAGCGCCACAGACCAAACGCCCAGCTGTGTGCTGTGTGCTCTGTGCTCTGTGCTGTGTGTCACCTCTGTCCGGGCCACTGGCCGGTCGGACGAGTAGGGTTCGAGTCAGCCAGCTGCTTGACATTTTTGTTTTCGGAGGCGGGTGGCTCCCGGCCTGGCGGTTCGAGGCTTCGGGTATGTGAGGCAGTGGACCATGGCGGAGCGCGGAGAATCGACAAGGCGTGGATGCTGGCGCCTCACGGGTGCTAATGTGCTGGTGGAGAGGACGATCGTTGTAATGGGTGCGGAGGCTTGCTTGGCGATGTGTGGAGGGATGGCGCTGTGAGGCGGTTGTGCGTCGTTTTGTTTGGTGTGTTTTGTGGCGAGTTGGCGTGTGCGTGTGTGTGTGTGTGTGTTGGTCTGAGCGCGTCGATTGCGTTGCGGTTTGGGTTTGTGTCTGGGCGCTTAGCTCAAATGGTAGAGCGCCCGCTTCGCATGCGGGAGGTAGGGGGGTCGATACCCCCAGTGTCCACTTTTTACGGCACACAACACTTTTTACGAACAAACACTTTTTACCGCCCCTCGCGCCGCTGCTTGCTTCCTAGCCTTCCTACCCCTGCTCACCCGCCACCCAAGCTCACCCGCCATCTGCGAGCGTGCTGGTGCCTACGTTTACAGACGACCCACCTTTTTTGTCGGCGAGTGTGGGGCAACCACGCCGACTGCCAGGCGCAGGATCCCACAAGAGTTTGGGCATGAGGGAGACCGGCTAAACAGCTCACCGAGAGCCTGGTCAGCGCCACAGACCAAACGCCCAGCTGTGTGCTGTGTGCTCTGTGCTCTGTGCTGTGTGTCACCTCTGTCCGGGCCACTGGCCGGTCGGACGAGTAGGGTTCGAGTCAGCCAGCTGCTTGACATTTTTGTTTTCGGAGGCGGGTAGCTCCCGGCCTGGCGGTTCGAGGCTTCGGGTATGTGAGGCAGTGGACCATGGCGGAGCGCGGAGAATCGACAAGGCGTGGATGCTGGCGCCTCACGGGTGCTAATGTGCTGGTGGAGAGGACGATCGTTGTAATGGGTGCGGAGGCTTGCTTGGCGATGTGTGGAGGGATGGCGCTGTGAGGCGGTTGTGTGTGGTTTTGTTTGGTGTGTTTTGTGGCGAGTTGGCGTGTGTGTGTGTGTGTGTGTGTTGGTCTGAGCGCGTCGATTGCGTTGCGGTTTGGGTTTGTGTCTGGGCGCTTAGCTCAAATGGTAGAGCGCCCGCTTCGCATGCGGGAGGTAGGGGGATCGATACCCCCAGTGTCCACTTTTTACGGCACACAACACTTTTTACGAACAAACACTTTTTACCGCCCCTCGCGCCGCTGCTTGCTTCCTAGCCTTCCTACCCCTGCTCACCCGCCACCCAAGCTCACCCGCCATCTGCGAGCGTGCTGGTGCCTACGTTTACAGACGACCCACCTTTTTTGTCGGCGAGTGTGGGGCAACCACGCCGACTGCCAGGCGCAGGATCCCACAAGAGTTTGGGCATGAGGGAGACCGGCTAAACAGCTCACCGAGAGCCTGGTCAGCGCCACAGACCAAACGCCCAGCTGTGTGCTGTGTGCTCTGTGCTCTGTGCTGTGTGTCACCTCTGTCCGGGCCACTGGCCGGTCGGACGAGTAGGGTTCGAGTCAGCCAGCTGCTTGACATTTTTGTTTTCGGAGGCGGGTGGCTCCCGGCCTGGCGGTTCGAGGCTTCGGGTATGTGAGGCAGTGGACCATGGCGGAGCGCGGAGAATCGACAAGGCGTGGATGCTGGCGCCTCACGGGTGCTAATGTGCTGGTGGAGAGGACGATCGTTGTAATGGGTGCGGAGGCTTGCTTGGCGATGTGTGGAGGGATGGCGCTGTGAGGCGGTTGTGTGTGGTTTTGTTTGGTGTGTTTTGTGGCGAGTTGGCGTGTGCGTGTGTGTGTGTGTGTGTGTTGGTCTGAGCGCGTCGATTGCGTTGCGGTTTGGGTTTGTGTCTGGGCGCTTAGCTCAAATGGTAGAGCGCCCGCTTCGCATGCGGGAGGTAGGGGGATCGATACCCCCAGTGTCCACTTTTTACGGCACACAACACTTTTTACGAACAAACACTTTTTACCGCCCCTCGCGCCGCTGCTTGCTTCCTAGCCTTCCTACCCCTGCTCACCCGCCACCCAAGCTCACCCGCCATCTGCGAGCGTGCTGGTGCCTACGTTTACAGACGACCCACCTTTTTTGTCGGCGAGTGTGGGGCAACCACGCCGACTGCCAGGCGCAGGATCCCACAAGAGTTTGGGCATGAGGGAGACCGGCTAAACAGCTCACCGAGAGCCTGGTCAGCGCCACAGACCAAACGCCCAGCTGTGTGCTGTGTGCTCTGTGCTGTGTGTCACCTCTGTCCGGGCCACTGGCCGGTCGGACGAGTAGGGTTCGAGTCAGCCAGCTGCTTGACATTTTTGTTTCGGAGGCGGGTGGCTCCCGGCCTGGCGGTTCGAGGCTTCGGGTATGTGAGGCAGTGGACCATGGCGGAGCGCGGAGAATCGACAAGGCGTGGATGCTGGCGCCTCACGGGTGCTAATGTGCTGGTGGAGAGGACGATCGTTGTAATGGGTGCGGAGGCTTGCTTGGCGATGTGTGGAGGGATGGCGCTGTGAGGCGGTTGTGCGTCGTTTTGTTTGGTGTGTTTTGTGGCGAGTTGGCGTGTGCGTGTGTGTGTGTGTGTTGGTCTGAGCGCGTCGATTGCGTTGCGGTTTGGGTTTGTGTCTGGGCGCTTAGCTCAAATGGTAGAGCGCCCGCTTCGCATGCGGGAGGTAGGGGGATCGATACCCCCAGTGTCCACTTTTTACGGCACACAACACTTTTTACGAACAAACACTTTTTACCGCCCCTCGCGCCGCTGCTTGCTTCCTAGCCTTCCTACCCCTGCTCACCCGCCACCCACAGCTCACCCGCCATCTGCGAGCGTGCTGGTGCCTACGTTTACAGACGACCCACCTTTTTTGTCGGCGAGTGTGGGGCAACCACGCCGACTGCCAGGCGCAGGATCCCACAAGAGTTTGGGCATGAGGGAGACCGGCTAAACAGCTCACCGAGAGCCTGGTCAGCGCCACAGACCAAACGCCCAGCTGTGTGCTGTGTGCTCTGTGCTCTGTGCTGTGTGTCACCTCTGTCCGGGCCACTGGCCGGTCGGACGAGTAGGGTTCGAGTCAGCCAGCTGCTTGACATTTTTGTTTCGGAGGCGGGTGGCTCCCGGCCTGGCGGTTCGAGGCTTCGGGTATGTGAGGCAGTGGACCATGGCGGAGCGCGGAGAATCGACAAGGCGTGGATGCTGGCGCCTCACGGGTGCTAATGTGCTGGTGGAGAGGACGATCGTTGTAATGGGTGCGGAGGCTTGCTTGGCGATGTGTGGAGGGATGGCGCTGTGAGGCGGTTGTGCGTCGTTTTGTTTGGTGTGTTTTGTGGCGAGTTGGCGTGTGCGTGTGTGTGTGTGTGTTGGTCTGAGCGCGTCGATTGCGTTGCGGTTTGGGTTTGTGTCTGGGCGCTTAGCTCAAATGGTAGAGCGCCCGCTTCGCATGCGGGAGGTAGGGGGATCGATACCCCCAGTGTCCACTTTTTACGGCACACAACACTTTTTACGAACAAACACTTTTTACCGCCCCTCGCGCCGCTGCTTGCTTCCTAGCCTTCCTACCCCTGCTCACCCGCCACCCACAGCTCACCCGCCATCTGCGAGCGTGCTGGTGCCTACGTTTACAGACGACCCACCTTTTTTGTCGGCGAGTGTGGGGCAACCACGCCGACTGCCAGGCGCAGGATCCCACAAGAGTTTGGGCATGAGGGAGACCGGCTAAACAGCTCACCGAGAGCCTGGTCAGCGCCACAGACCAAACGCCCAGCTGTGTGCTGTGTGCTGTGTGCTCTGTGCTGTGTGTCACCTCTGTCCGGGCCACTGGCCGGTCGGACGAGTAGGGTTCGAGTCAGCCAGCTGCTTGACATTTTTGTTTTCGGAGGCGGGTGGCTCCCGGCCTGGCGGTTCGAGGCTTCGGGTATGTGAGGCAGTGGACCATGGCGGAGCGCGGAGAATCGACAAGGCGTGGATGCTGGCGCCTCACGGGTGCTAATGTGCTGGTGGAGAGGACGATCGTTGTAATGGGTGCGGAGGCTTGCTTGGCGATGTGTGGAGGGATGGCGCTGTGAGGCGGTTGTGTGTGGTTTTGTTTGGTGTGTTTTGTGGCGAGTTGGCGTGTGCGTGTGTGTGTGTGTGTGTTGGTCTGAGCGCGTCGATTGCGTTGCGGTTTGGGTTTGTGTCTGGGCGCTTAGCTCAAATGGTAGAGCGCCCGCTTCGCATGCGGGAGGTAGGGGGATCGATACCCCCAGTGTCCACTTTTTACGGCACACAACACTTTTTACGAACAAACACTTTTTACCGCCCCTCGCGCCGCTGCTTGCTTCCTAGCCTTCCTACCCCTGCTCACCCGCCACCCACAGCTCACCCGCCATCTGCGAGCGTGCTGGTGCCTACGTTTACAGACGACCCACCTTTTTTGTCGGCGAGTGTGGGGCAACCACGCCGACTGCCAGGCGCAGGATCCCACAAGAGTTTGGGCATGAGGGAGACCGGCTAAACAGCTCACCGAGAGCCTGGTCAGCGCCACAGACCAAACGCCCAGCTGTGTGCTGTGTGCTCTGTGCTCTGTGCTGTGTGTCACCTCTGTCCGGGCCACTGGCCGGTCGGACGAGTAGGGTTCGAGTCAGCCAGCTGCTTGACATTTTTGTTTTCGGAGGCGGGTGGCTCCCGGCCTGGCGGTTCGAGGCTTCGGGTATGTGAGGCAGTGGACCATGGCGGAGCGCGGAGAATCGACAAGGCGTGGATGCTGGCGCCTCACGGGTGCTAATGTGCTGGTGGAGAGGACGATCGTTGTAATGGGTGCGGAGGCTTGCTTGGCGATGTGTGGAGGGATGGCGCTGTGAGGCGGTTGTGTGTGGTTTTGTTTGGTGTGTTTTGTGGCGAGTTGGCGTGTGCGTGTGTGTGTGTGTGTGTGTGTTGGTCTGAGCGCGTCGATTGCGTTGCGGTTTGGGTTTGTGTCTGGGCGCTTAGCTCAAATGGTAGAGCGCCCGCTTCGCATGCGGGAGGCAGGGGGATCGATACCCCCAGTGTCCACTTTTACGGCACGCAACACTTTTTACGAACAAACACTTTTTACCGCCCCTCGCGCCGCTGCTTGCTTCCTAGCCTTCCTACCCCTGCTCACCCGCCACCCACAGCTCACCCGCCATCTGCGAGCGTGCTGGTGCCTACGTTTACAGACGACCCACCTTTTTTGTCGGCGAGTGTGGGGCAACCACGCCGACTGCCAGGCGCAGGATCCCACAAGAGTTTGGGCATGAGGGAGACCGGCTAAACAGCTCACCGAGAGCCTGGTCAGCGCCACAGACCAAACGCCCAGCTGTGTGCTGTGTGCTCTGTGCTCTGTGCTGTGTGTCACCTCTGTCCGGGCCACTGGCCGGTCGGACGAGTAGGGTTCGAGTCAGCCAGCTGCTTGACATTTTTGTTTTCGGAGGCGGGTGGCTCCCGGCCTGGCGGTTCGAGGCTTCGGGTATGTGAGGCAGTGGACCATGGCGGAGCGCGGAGAATCGACAAGGCGTGGATGCTGGCGCCTCACGGGTGCTAATGTGCTGGTGGAGAGGACGATCGTTGTAATGGGTGCGGAGGCTTGCTTGGCGATGTGTGGAGGGATGGCGCTGTGAGGCGGTTGTGTGTGGTTTTGTTTGGTGTGTTTTGTGGCGAGTTGGCGTGTGCGTGTGTGTGTGTGTGTTGGTCTGAGCGCGTCGATTGCGTTGCGGTTTGGGTTTGTGTCTGGGCGCTTAGCTCAAATGGTAGAGCACCCGCTTCGCATGCGGATCGATACCCCCAGTGTCCACTTTTACGGCACACAACACTTTTTACGAACAACCACTTTTTACCGCCCCTCGCGCCGCTGCTTGCTTCCTAGCCTTCCTACCCCTGCTCACCCGCCACCCACAGCTCACCCGCCATCTGCGAGCGTGCTGGTGCCTACGTTTACAGACGACCCACCTTTTTTGTCGGCGAGTGTGGGGCAACCACGCCGACTGCCAGGCGCAGGATCCCACAAGAGTTTGGGCATGAGGGAGACCGGCTAAACAGCTCACCGAGAGCCTGGTCAGCGCCACAGACCAAACGCCCAGCTTTGTGCTGTGTGCTCTGTGCTCTGTGCTGTGTGTCACCTCTGTCCGGGCCACTGGCCGGTCGGACGAGTAGGGTTCGAGTCAGCCAGCTGCTTGACATTTTTGTTTTCGGAGGCGGGTGGCTCCCGGCCTGGCGGTTCGAGGCTTCGGGTATGTGAGGCAGTGGACCATGGCGGAGCGCGGAGAATCGACAAGGCGTGGATGCTGGCGCCTCACGGGTGCTAATGTGCTGGTGGAGAGGACGATCGTTGTAATGGGTGCGGAGGCTTGCTTGGCGATGTGTGGAGGGATGGCGCTGTGAGGCGGTTGTGTGTCGTTTTGTTTGGTGTGTTTTGTGGCGAGTTGGCGTGTGCGTGTGTGTGTGTGTTGGTCTGAGCGCGTCGATTGCGTTGCGGTTTGGGTTTGTGTCTGGGCGCTTAGCTCAAATGGTAGAGCGCCCGCTTCGCATGCGGGAGGTAGGGGGATCGATACCCCCAGTGTCCACTTTTTACGGCACACAACACTTTTTACGAACAAACACTTTTTACCGCCCCTCGCGCCGCTGCTTGCTTCCTAGCCTTCCTACCCCTGCTCACCCGCCACCCACAGCTCACCCGCCATCTGCGAGCGTGCTGGTGCCTACGTTTACAGACGACCCACCTTTTTTGTCGGCGAGTGTGGGGCAACCACGCCGACTGCCAGGCGCAGGATCCCACAAGAGTTTGGGCATGAGGGAGACCGGCTAAACAGCTCACCGAGAGCCTGGTCAGCGCCACAGACCAAACGCCCAGCTTTGTGCTGTGTGCTCTGTGCTCTGTGCTGTGTGTCACCTCTGTCCGGGCCACTGGCCGGTCGGACGAGTAGGGTTCGAGTCAGCCAGCTGCTTGACATTTTTGTTTTCGGAGGCGGGTGGCTCCCGGCCTGGCGGTTCGAGGCTTCGGGTATGTGAGGCAGTGGACCATGGCGGAGCGCGGAGAATCGACAAGGCGTGGATGCTGGCGCCTCACGGGTGCTAATGTGCTGGTGGAGAGGACGATCGTTGTAATGGGTGCGGAGGCTTGCTTGGCGATGTGTGGAGGGATGGCGCTGTGAGGCGGTTGTGTGTGGTTTTGTTTGGTGTGTTTTGTGGCGAGTTGGCGTGTGCGTGTGTGTGTGTGTGTTGGTCTGAGCGCGTCGATTGCGTTGCGGTTTGGGTTTGTGTCTGGGCGCTTAGCTCAAATGGTAGAGCGCCCGCTTCGCATGCGGGAGGTAGGGGGATCGATACCCCCAGTCTCCACTTTTTACGGCACACAACACTTTTTACGAACAAACACTTTTTACCGCCCCTCGCGCCGCTGCTTGCTTCCTAGCCTTCCTACCCCTGCTCACCCGCCACCCAAGCTCACCCGCCATCTGCGAGCGTGCTGGTGCCTACGTTTACAGACGACCCACCTTTTTTGTCGGCGAGTGTGGGGCAACCACGCCGACTGCCAGGCGCAGGATCCCACAAGAGTTTGGGCATGAGGGAGACCGGCTAAACAGCTCACCGAGAGCCTGGTCAGCGCCACAGACCAAACGCCCAGCTTTGTGCTGTGTGCTCTGTGCTCTGTGCTGTGTGTCACCTCTGTCCGGGCCACTGGCCGGTCGGACGAGTAGGGTTCGAGTCAGCCAGCTGCTTGACATTTTTGTTTTCGGAGGCGGGTGGCTCCCGGCCTGGCGGTTCGAGGCTTCGGGTATGTGAGGCAGTGGACCATGGCGGAGCGCGGAGAATCGACAAGGCGTGGATGCTGGCGCCTCACGGGTGCTAATGTGCTGGTGGAGAGGACGATCGTTGTAATGGGTGCGGAGGCTTGCTTGGCGATGTGTGGAGGGATGGCGCTGTGAGGCGGTTGTGCGTCGTTTTGTTTGGTGTGTTTTGTGGCGAGTTGGCGTGTGCGTGTGTGTGTGTGTGTTGGTCTGAGCGCGCCGA